ATGATCCATAGCTATTGCCCTGAATGACACTGAGAAGGAATGTACGGAAGTGCATGTGGCACGCAGAGGAGAATTCCCATTACAAACATCAAAATTAACATTGTGTAAAATTACAAAAGATATTAGGAGACAAAATCTAATAAAAATCAACATTTTAAAAAAATAATTAATTCATTGATTAATTTGAATCCAACCCATGTTTTTTAATCAAACACTGAAATATGCACAACTGGTCTAATTCTGTTCATTTGTGGTGCCTCCACTGACCCAACGGGCACTTCAGGATTGTTGTGGTAATGTTACTGAGGCAGTAGAACAGTGTTCTACTTTTTTTTTATTATTATTATTTTGTATCTACAGTGTCAAAGCCAAAAATCTTCACTACTTCTCAAATGGTGATGTCAGGATTATCTCTTCTGCAAGACTCAGTAGTTTCCTACATTTTGTGTTAATGAAGAGAACAACATCACTGTAGTTTACTGAGGGGGTAACAAAGGATGTAACAGGTCAGAGCACAAAACTAGACCTGTTGCATTCTAAGACTGTGGATTTTGAAATATGATATATAGTGTCTTTATATTGTCTATTATTATTGTATTAAGATTTTAAGTAGGTTTTTTTTTTTTTTGTAAAGAAGGTGCAGTGACCAGTTGTTTGCTCAAACAGAGGGAAATTCAGGAAATTCAGGAGCTATTCTTAGAGGTGAATTAAGACTCATTTGTGGCTTATTGGTATGCTTTCAGTCTATCAATAGTTTTCAGACAACAATGGCACTTTTTTGAGAGGAATAACATACAGGTTTCATAAACATGCAAACCTGGCTGCAGGATAATTTCAACTCACCTCAACTCAATTTAACTTTAGTCATATTGCATTAATTCAAATCATATGTCATCTCATATGACTTCACATAGTAAGATAAAGACCTTACAAATTTGAAACAGAGAACCCAACAAATCCAAAACTTCAGCCCGGGTTTGGCTCGAAACATGGAACTTCAATAAACTACAGGATATCATGTTTATCCTCCAAATACTGTGCTTCTTATGACATTAAAGGTACAGTGGATAACATTTTGACATAAAAGTGTCAAAAATAGCAAGAACAATGTTACATATGTTGCTGATGTGTGTTTTATGCAGTGTGTGTCAAATCTCCAGAGGAAACACAATGAACTGTGAATGACACGTAGGAGTGTGTGGAAGAAAGACGAAGGCAAACTAGCTAACTGGCAACTGGTTATTCCCCATTAGTTTGGATGTAATTAATTTTCATTTCTTTTTACTTTTGTCAGTTTCAACTTATTTCAGTGACAGCTGTTTTGTTCCTTCTTTAATGGGAGGGTACAAATAAATTTGAGGACAACTGTATTCTGCAATAACATAAGCAGCATGGATGATGATTTTGAAAATGTACTGAAGGTTTATTGCACATCAGCTAACAAAATGGCACAGTTGAATGAATGCTGCCAGTTTGTGGCATGTTGTCACAAGGTGGTTGTCTCTGCTGCTATCCATCAACAGAATCCTTGTGTAATGGTAACCCCTGACCAGCTGCTTTTCGAGTCCAGAGCTTGACCTCATAACTGTAGTTTCTTGGGAAGAATACCGTGATAAAGTCCTAGCCTGCAGAATGAAAGACGTTAAAATGGATAACATTTATGAGGACTATGGCATGGTGAAAGCTATTCCTAGCTTGTTAGAAAAGGAAGGCTGCTATAGTGAGGTGCAGTATCTGAAACTGTCCAAAGCAGAGGTCCTACTTGTTAATCTAAGGATGTCAGCAGCCACATCTTCTCCATCCCATGTAGTAATGCTAAAACAGAATGCATCTCGATGATGGCGGCATGGGGGAAAAAAAAACAACTAAACAACTGGATGTGGACAGTGTCAAGGAAGTGCTGTGTCAATTTCACATCACATAGACGTGTGCTTTGGAGGCAGCCAGCAAAGGGCATACGTTTTGCAAACACAGACTAGACCATGGTGTCTCTGTGTCCCAGACTTTCCTTCCTTCTTGAGAGAAGCATGGAGGGCTTCAATGTGAAATTTGACTGTAAATCACAAAGCTATGTGGGCATAAATACGATTTTGAATTGACTGAAGCTGACATTTAAGTGTAATGTAGAAGTGACTTTTCCAAGTACCTACTTACTTTTATAAGCAGTTACTGGTAAAGTATATTCAATTAATTATGGAGGAAGTAACAAGTAACTGTAACTAATTACTAGTTTTCAGTAAGTTACACAACACTGCTCATGGGTACTGCAGTACATAGTGGACAGAAAAACTTGTTTTGTCAGAACAGCCAGAACATAACCTTGTAGTTATCCAAGAGATTCCCATCAATCTGTGTTCAGGATTATTATTGTTGTTGTTAAAAGTAAAATTTCAAGTGGGAAAAAACAGGAAAAACTTCAGAAGTATATTGAAAGTAATTAATAAAACAAGGGCACTATTTTTTGTCTGGGTGTATCTCAGAAGACTGGCAAGAAAAAATGCAGTGTTTTGTGCTTTGAACAAACAGAATAATTCTAAACTAGATACATGTAAAGAATAAACTTTTTTATCGTTAATATCACAGATTTGACTATACTTCATTTGCACTTGCTCAGATTTTGGATTTTCAGGGCATAGTTTACATTAGAGCTTGCTTAGTTCAGGTTTTATCAATACTATAGTAGCAAGAAAACAGCCACAGCAAAACCAGTTATCAATGCCGTTTGAAGTTTTTTCAGGACTTGCCAAAAGCTATATCTAGCAGTGGAAAGCAATGCCAATGTTAACTTTGTGTTGCTTCTATTTCCTCTTCTTTGCTGGCAGTGCTTTCAACATGATTTACAGAAGATTAGAATACAGTCTAAAGACAGTGCTATTTCTTCTTCCTCCTGTTTTGGGCTGAGGGCATTCTGGATGCTACAGTGACTTGTGATCATGTCTTGAATTTTTATGAACGCCATTACGAGACTAGATAGGCTGAGGTCAGTTGGTTAGCATGCTAATTTCAGTAGACATCTCCGTAACACAATATATGAACACCTTTGACATAAAACAGAAAGTATAAGAGGTAGCATATTATCAAGAGGTAACACTTTATCACCTCTTCCAAGGAGGTTACGTTTTCATCACCATTCAACTGTCAGCAAGATTACACAACAACTAGGCCAATTTCCATGAAACTTGGTGGAAAGTTGGGAACATTAGCAAAGGAAAAAGTCAAAATTTATGTGTGTTTAGGTTGTAAAATTACATAGAAGAGTGGACAATTGGCCTTGGTGGCCATCTGCGCTCTCAGTGCCTTTACATATCTGTACTGATTATGAGAAGTGTTTTTAAATGTATTTTGGATTTTTCTTCTATGTTTCCCCACCTCAAATGTAAGCGTTTCTTTCTTTCCTTCTGGCCATGCTCCACTTCTCCACACAGTTTCATGATGTTTGGCTTGGTAGTTAGAACCACACAAATGGCACTAAAAATATATTTCTACCTTGGCTCCAAAGTTGGCAGAAGAAAAAGAAGCAGCAGCAGCAGAAAATGTGTGAAAATCTTCAGCATCTATATGGATAAGTCTGTACATGTGATGCCACTAAACAGGAAAATTGCGTCGTACAACTTCCGTTCTTTATAACAGGCTTGTCATCATCAGATTTTCTTTCTGGTGATAAATGTGGTTACAAAAATTAGACCCAGTCGACCAGCACTCTGTAGGCCTAATTTCTTTGCTAAGTGGGCTTCACTAATGTCAAAATAAAGCTAATTTTCATGCAAGTACAAAATATTTCTGTCCAACTGTATAAACCACAGAGTGCTGGTATGCTCTAAGCAGCATCCCTTATTTTGATGGTTTACAACCCATTACCAGAGGAACAACCAAGGTCATCCCAACCACGCAAACCATAGATTTAGCTGGCTAGAGATGCAGATTACACCTAATGAAATAATGACCCTGTGTCTTCAGCCATTGTTGACCTCGTGTCCTTTTCATTGCTACACCCACCTAACTTATTAATGTCAGTCAAACAGAAACATTTTAAGCGATGTTGGAGTCTACAGAGAGGAGCATCAGTACAATACACTCTCTGCTACCAAACATGCTTCCCCTGTGGACTGGCATCCTTTAGCATATCAATACACAGTGTTTTGACCAATCATCAACCAGCTGCTGCTAGATCTGGTCCAATCACACAATGGATGCGTCAGCGTTTGCTCAAGCCGATACACCTGCTAGTTTGTATGAGAACACACTTGTCTATTTGAGAGCTGCATGTTCACGTCCGGACACTAGCACAGCACCACTCTGAAGACACTGAACTTCTAGCTTTATTTTTCATTTTGTGTCTGTGTATCTTGTTGTGGACATTTAGTGTGACAAAGATCTTTCAATATGTGAACCAAAAATGATGCTCTAACCTTGTATAACCAAGGCCTATCGTACGATATCAAAATAAAAAACATGACCAATGTGAGCAAAACAGACATCATTAACAATATTCAGAAAATGATCAGGTCTATCACCACCTAATACACAGATTTTTCTTCCAATGGTTTTGTCTGTGAAAAATCAAAAAATTTAAATACTATTTCCCACAGCCCAAGGAAAAACGTTTCAACCAATGGCATCAACCTCAATATTATTCAGGTTACTGTGACGTAAAACAGGAGGACACTAAATATTTGGAGATTTGTGCTTGATAAATTGGCCAGGTGTTGCAGTACTGTGTGTTTCTATTTTTTCACACTGACAAACACAATTCATCACTTCATGCTTCATTGCTGTGCTTAGCTTTTTGATCATTGGCCAAGACTCCATGGAATTAAAGATCTTGTATCTCAATAGGAACTTCCTGGCTAAATAAAGGATAAATAAAATTAAAGTAGAAAAACTGTCAGTCAGACCAAGTAAAAACAGTCAGTGTTCAGAAAACCAATAAGAAGCAGCAGCTGACAACTCAGTCCAATGATCTAAGGTCAGAGGCAGAGACAAAAATGAATGAGCACATCTCAGTTTCTCAAGATTAGTTTCTTTATTTATTAAAATTATTTATCAAAAATGATTTTATTGAAGGTCTATTTTTCAGCATCTCTGGAATAAAGCTGGTCCCTCCTTCATCCGCTGAAAGTACAAAACAACACTATAACTCTTCGTTTATGTGAGTGCCGTCTTTACAGTAGTCTGAAATAAAAAAAAACAGACAGACAAAAATAACAGTGTTAAGGTTACAAACTTACAGATACATCAAAATGTAGGACCGTTTTTAATCATTTATCACAAAAAAAAGACAAATAGTTCATTTGTTGTTTAAAGCGTTTATCCTGAGCATTTCTGAAAATGAGACTGATCCTCAATAAAACATCATTATCTCACCCTGAAGCAGCCTGTATGCTATGCTACGCTAATGTGATGGTTTATTTATTAAAAAACATTTACTTTTAAATCAGAATGTGAAATTATTGCTATTGACAATCCTTTGAACTCCAAGAAGTTTCTGGGCATTTGTTGCTCTTGTCACACTTATCCCCACTGTGGGCTCATTTATTTATTTTGCACTGCAATGAAAAGTCCTGCACCTCAGAAACAATTCAGAAATGTATTTTCTGCAGTATGATACACTTCCAATGCATTTAATCCTCAGAAAGGAAAAAAATACAAAAAGATTTTTTTGGATTATTTGTTTAACAAAAATATAAAAACCTGGGATTAACATTAACAACATATTTCCAAGTACCCACAGGTGATACTGACACTGAAGAAAAAGGTGACTCTACATACTATGGATATTTTATATGATTATATTCTAATATTATTTCTACTATATACTGTTTATTCTCCTCTCTGCTCTTTGTAAGAATTGCCTGTGGCTCAAGCAAAAAAAAAAAAACTAAATTATTGTCACGTGACTTTTGGTTGAAGCTGAGTCAGGCACGGCCTTTTGTTGGAAGGAAGGCAGAATTTTTTGTTTTTCTTCACAGAATCCTGTGCACGCTGTTTATTTTTGGTGAACTTCTAAATGATGTGTAGAATAAATTGATTCTGATGAAACGTCACAATTCTGAGCTTCGATTTTCAACAGAACAGCAAATCACAGATGAGCAGCTCTGAGCGTCGGAAAGTTGAAAATCTGACGATTCTTTCTGTTACTGTTGTTTCTGCCAGATAAATTGAGTCATTTTGCCAATTTATACAAAAAAAAAGAATATGCCTTTGAAACCCAGCATTTTGTTTTGTTGTTTAGCGGGCGAATATTGCGAAACAATGTCTGGATTCATTCATTCAGCTAATTTCTTAATGAATTTCTTTAGCTCTGTTCTGAACTTGATGTGCGAGGAAATATAGACATTTTGTGTGTGTGTGTGTGTGTGTGTGTGTGTGTGTGGGTGTATTACAGAACGTGTGAGCAAGTCGGGCTACCTGAGACTCTGTTGCATAACTCCTCGTGCACATTCTCGACGTTCTGGCTGAACACAGAGATGATGTCATCCTCCAGCTCCTCCACCACGGTTTCACACTGACACAAAAACACAAGTGCAGAAGAAAGACTCAGGCTCGAGAAATGGTGCTGAGGCGGCTCAGCCATGCGTACACAACACACACACTCACACACAAACAAAAGCTGTGTTTGTCACATCTTTCTGCACAGTGGAGGCCACACCATTTGTAGGCCGGTGGTCATGTTTCCCTTCAGCCATTTTGATAAGTCTGTGGCTACACGGTGAAACCACGGCTCTACCGATTCACTGGGACCTTGGTGGTAACCTACAATACCATTCGGACATAGTTTCTATTTTTTCTACTTCATAGCAGAATTTTGATTTTACATTTCTGAGACGGACCTTCTTAAGTAAGCAGCATCCTGACAAGCCAAATGTAAAAGCAAAACCTTAGCTGTGATATGACTTTTGGCTGCAAATTTACCACAGCAGTAGCATCAGGCTAAAGGATTTTGAATTTTGGATGTTGAACAAAGCATGGGGAGTGGCCATTGTAAATCTAGAACATGATGATTTCATTTTCCTTGGGCTTTGCAGTTTTCTGTATAATAACAGATTATTCTAAAATGACAAAAGGAGTTTTAGATTAACAATAATCAAGTTCCCTGATCTCACCGTTTTCCTGCATAGAGCACCTTTATCAAATGTACTATTCTGTGTAATCCAATCAGTATCTTTATTCATTTGTTGTATTTATTTTACTTCTGTCTAAAAATAAACAAGTCTTAAAGCTCTTTTGCAAGGGATCCTGGCTACAGTGTTATTGCTTTTTTTGACTACACCACATACAAGATAAATAAGTTCTCTGGTGTTAACTTGATATGGACAACAAGATCTATTTGAAGCTGCAAAAACTGAAGTTGCATTCACGGAATTCAGATTTTTGTTCCATTCACAAAAATCCCTGCCAATGGTTTAGTCACATGACGCAACGTAGAATGATGTGGTAATGCTAGCGGCTACTAGAAGTTTACATGCAGCCTGGTTACCATCCAAGCATTTGCTAATTGCAAATGTACACACGTCTAAATTCGGTCTGGTTGCACAAACTGGTCCTGCTGCAGTACTAATTATTTACACCTACTGACTGCAGGTGGAACTGTTGATTCAACCCACTGACAAAACTAACTCACTAATACATGGCTTTTCGACAAAGAGTGAAGGAGTTGATGTAAGTCGCATATCTGGCCTGAAATTTGACAGAAATTTTAGGATGGGCTGGCACTGCTTCAGTGTGTATCAAGAAAAAAGACAAATGGCAAATATAGAGGACACTAAAACTACAGACTTTAAAGACTTCCAAAGACTTGAAAGTAAAAATATGATTGTTGTATTTGCTCTAATTTTTTGCATATGTGTTGTTACAATGCTTCTTTAGTGAATATGTAGACAGGTATTATCAATAATAATATTGGTTATTAATACTATTCATAATTATATCCTATAATTAAGTTCAGTAACTGGAAGAAATTTAAAGCTCAGTGCTGTTGAAAAAATGTATATATATGTAGCACTTGCCATTAGAACAATATGACTACTGTCACGAGAGTATCACAATTTTACATTTAAAAAAAAAGAAATGCCCAGACAGTCCCATTAAGGCTTGGGTCACAAAAGGTTAATCATCATAAAGGCTAATAAGGATTAAAAAAGTGAGGAGATTTTAAACATTTCACAAAAATCCCACAATGCTACCGCAATGTACCTTAAATTTTAAAATATCATTAGTTAGTGCCAATTAACTGTATATAATAGGTTATGTGAGGTTACATTCACTAACCAACATCTCTCGCTCCATGTACATATAAAATGTGTATATAGCATTTGTAACAAATATTATATAAAAACTCACCTACAAAGGATTGGCAATGGACAAATAGCTTGCCCTCATCAAACTATAGTATTTGGAAGCATTTGTGTCTTACAGTAGCCTTACAACAACCCTTAATACTTTCTGTTTTACACAGTTAATTGCTTTTGATTGGACAGTGCAACAAATGTCACAAAGCAACCAATTCATGCATCCCTAGAAATATCTCCTGTGTTAAAGCTGCAACCCAAATTAGTGACTTTAAAGAACTTTTCACGCAAGCATATTGACAGACTAAAGTGGAGTGATCTTTTCTCATCTATAAATTCCTCCAATCTGCATATGTCCCTAAACTCGTCCACAGTTAAGGTAACAGATAACACTTATGTCACAAATGCACTTTATTCAACATTTTAATGCAAAGTGTTGCACTTACTGCAAATTTCAGGGCGTCGGATGCCTCAGGTCCGTCAAACTGGAAGTTTTTAAAGTCCGGGAAATTGCTGTTGTCCCCACTGCCTCTGGGAGCGAACCTTATGTACTGTTTGTGCTGGGTGTCAGGGTCCACATGGAGGGCGTAGTCACTCATACTGTTGCACACCCCATCCAAGAGCTCACTGAGGTGAGTCTCTGAGCGAGCGAACGGGACCTGGCCACACAATCCAGAGAGAGGAGGAAAACATGGAGTGTTGAGCTGTTTGGTGGCTGAGTGTACCGACGTCCTTGGCTCCAGTGTCATGTGACATTCCTCTTATTTTCTCAATGTTTGCTATACTACCCTACTATGCACACTTCTATAAGCAGGAGAAATATGTAGAGCAAACTGGAAATATGGTGTAAATAAATAAAGAACAAAACTGACCAAAAATATTAAAAATACACTTCCAAAGATGGCACCTGGAGAGACCCAACAAAGAAACAAAGGTTACGGTGAGGAAAACAAAACTCTAAACAAACCAATGATGCTGACAGACCTCCTTAAGTGTTTGGGTTGGCCTGGTGTCAGCTGTGTTACACCACAGGGCTGTGTGTGGGTCAGCACGCTGACCTCTTGTTTCCGCTGTGTTTTTTCCATCCGCACTAACAAACCTCACCCTCCAACTCTGACTTTTAACCTGCATGAATACCCTCCCCACCTCTCTATCCAAACTCCAACTCCAACGCTGCCTCCTCGCTGCCCCCTCACCCCATCCTACCATGATGCGGTGGTGTCTAGACGGGTCAAAACAGGTGCAGCACTCTGCTCCCACCATCCCCAGAAGGATATTGGGTGACAGGGGTTACGCCCAGGGGGTGAGGGGGTGAGGATGGGGCGGGTGAAAAGGGTGAAGTGGAGGGGGGGTGGGTCGGTGCTCTTTCCACCTCAAACAGACAAGGGGAGGGGTTGGTTTCCTGAAAAGGGTGGGGTAGGTGGAGGAGATGGCAGAAGCAGGAGGCCTCAACAGAAGCCAAGTGCAGGGTAAACAGCTCATCTCCTCAGCCCCCTCCCTCGCTGCCTCTGCTCCGTCTTTTGGCCCATTCATCCCCCCTCCATCCTCCAATGATCAAAGGAGGAAATCTTCCTTGTCTTCTTTGGTCAAAAGGTGGCGGGCTGGAGGTTGGGGTTAGGGAGAGAGTTTGGGGTGGGGGCTGTTGGGATGGTGTACGGCACAGAGAAGAAGAG